GCTGCGGAACATTGCCTTCTCTAAGCCTCAATTTTCTCGTCTGGAAAATGGGTATAGTAATAGTTTCCACCTTATGGGGTTACTAGGAGGACTAGATGAGATAAAAGCCATTGACACAGTGCCTGACCCATAGTAAGCAATCAGTAAGATAATAATACTTTAATTATACTTGTTATCATCACCACCATCACCACCATTGTGGGCTATAAAAAAAAGAATGGCAAACAGGCCAGAAAATGCTGTTTTATTGGATTGCTGGTGGTAGAAAGAATGCATACATAGGTTCTTATGAGGCGGGGCGGGGGGAGAGCAGATAGAGGAAGTGAGAAAGAGGCAGAGACAGACAGACAGACACACATGGTTTGATTCTAGGCAGGTCTTTTTCAATGCTTTTGGTGTGCGTGTATTAGCAGGGTTGATCCTGGAATTAGGTTTTCCTAAGAGATAGACTCATTAGTTCATCGTTCAGAAATTGCACTCGGCAGGGAGATTCATCTTGGTGCATCTTGGCTCTTCTATTTCCAGGGTCTTTTACTTATTGAGAAGATGATCTTACAACAACAGGGGAAGAATTTTTAAAGAAAAAAATCACCATAATTCCAGTACCCAATGGGTTCACATTTTGGTAGTTGCTGCCACCATGCCTGATATTTTACATAGATGTTGACGCTATATTTATTGTATCATAAACTTTTTTTTCTTGTTGCTACGTAGTCTGCATAGTGATAGTTCATGGCCATGTGATGGTTTCATCCAGGGGATTCACCATCCCTCACTAAGCCGTTTCACAGTCTGGCAGTGCAACTTCTTTATGAATGTCAGTGTTAGCATCTGCTGATTTATTTTCTTGGGATATATTCCCTGCAGTAGGAATTCTCAGTCAAAGATAGGAATGTCTTTGCAGCTTTATTTGCAGCATTTTACAGAAATAAATCCTTCCATCCGTTTTTTTGTATTTCAATCTCTATTTCATCACAATGAAACCGTTTGAGGTAATCTAACATCTGGTGGAGTGTTCCAGACCAGTGTGCCAACAGATCATTAATAAATTTACCATCTGGCCATGCACTGCTTTTTTGAAAACCGCTATTTTCTCTGATGAGTTTTCCCTCTGCTCTTTCCACCCCTCCCCCAAAACTTCAAGTTCTCTTTCTCAGTACTTCTGGAAGGAACGCCCCCAAAGTCTCTAGTCTTTTCTCAGAAACTCATCCTTTATTTACTTTTGGAGTCAGGACTTGTTTGCATATGTAAAACCAGGACCATATTGTTTGCAGATGCTGGGGTGCTGCCAGATAATTGAATTTAAAAAGTTGAGGCTTTTAAATCATTTTTTACAAACCTGGACGCAAAAGAATATTTTCTTAGAATTTAAAAAAAAAAAAAGTATGGCTATGAAGATTGTGGGATTGGGTTTCTAATTCACTTTGTGTTCACAATAATGACATTTCAAACCCACAGAAAGTTAGGAGGCGGGAGGTGGGGGAGGGTAGAAGAATAGGAGATAAAACTTTACAGATTCACTGTCTAATGTAAGAAAACAAATGCATACGAGAAGTTAGAATAGATAACAGTAAAAACTCAAAGACTAATTACTAGAAAGGACATCATGTTTGACAAAGTGGAAGGTCAGCGAAAAAGAGGGAAACCCACAATAAGATAGGGCTGACACAGTAGCTGCAACAATGGGCTCAAACATATCAAAGTTCATGACGATGGTAAAGGACTTGTCTACATTTAACACTTCCTTCTGTTATACAAGGAGCCCTGGTGGTGCAGTGGTTAAACACTCAGCTGCTAACCAAAAGATCAGGCGGTTTGAACCCACCAGCTGCTCCGTGGGAGAAAGAGGTGACAGTCAGCTTCCGTAAAGATTCACAGCCTTGGAAACACGATGGGGCTGTTCTACTGTGCCCTATAGGGACACTGAATCTGAGTCGGAAGTGGGTTTGGTTTTCAGTTAAACGTAAGGTCACCATGAGTCGGAGCCTACTGGAGGGGGGCTAACAACAACACCTAGCAGTAACAGTAAATTTTTTACAATTTTCCTGTTTAGCTCTTTATTTTAAGATTTTAAAAAATAAAAACAACCAGTTGCCATCAAGTCAATTCCAACTCATGGTGACCCCATGTGTGTCACACTAGAACTGTGCTCCATTGGGTTTTCGGTGGCTGATTTTTCAGAAGTAGATTGTCAGGCTTTTCTTCCAAGGTGCGTCTGGGTGGACTCGAACCACCAATCTTTCAGTTAGCAGAGAGTACCCTTCGCACCATCCAGGGACATTTTTAAGGTAAAAATAGTTTAAAAGTAATTGTGTTTTCTATCAGTATTTGATAATTGAGAGTGGCCCTGATGTGATAGCAATTGTTAAAAGTGAATTGTTTTCAGGATTAAATCCTATTGGTGAAAAAAAAGTTCATGTGGCAGTCCTTTCTATCATATCTAGCATTGATAAAAACAAAGGAGAGCTTCAAGCACAAATGACTAGCTTAAACTACAAGGCTGGATTCTTTTCCCAAAGTAAATGTTGAAATCTCTTACAGTATCTGCAAGTACAATGGGGAAAAGTAAGTTCTGAAGTCTCGCTCAAACCTGCATTTGCTGACAGCTTTTGCAGCGCCCCCCCATTCAGTGAGCATGGGTGTGGCCGAGTGCGTGAGCCAGGGCCCCAGTGCAAAAACACCAGCCCCTCTCCGGACTCCACGCTCTGGCCCTGGCTCTGCTGCCTGTAAGGTGTTGATTCCTCTTTACCGGGTGGGAGCCCATGGTGGCTGCGGGGGGGGCCTCTGGAGGCTGGGTTCCAGGCTGTGCACAGCGTCTGCTCTGGGCCAGGTGGGAGATGCCCCAGAGCAATGAGTGGCAGGTAGAGGTTCAGGCTGGGAGCGGAGGGTCTGACATTGAGAGTTCTAGCCCCTTCTGGATCTCTGGGACAAGCCAGAGATCTCCAGGGGCCTGAGAGGTGCAGGGGAAATTAGTGCATCTAAAGGCCCCACCCTTGAGCACCCTCTGTCCTGCCTGGTACTGCCTTCACATTGCTTCCTCCAACATTTTGTCATCCTGGTGCTAATAACTGGCATATCTGCATGTTAGCTTAAAAACTGTTGCAGCCCTCCACTTAGACTGTGCTGGGGGTGGAGGGGGGCAAGCAATCTCCTGTCCTCCCCTCCCCACTAACCTTAACTTGGCCCTGTTTTCAGTATCAGTTCCTCAGCCTGGGTTGCCCATCTTAAGATGAGGGTGAAGCTGGAGGATGGACAGTGGTGGGTGTGGAACTCGGAAGCACTTTGCAGAGGCCAGGAGTTCTGTGGCTCGGTTTTTGGTTCTGGACTATTTAAGCTGGGGGTGACTGGGCACGGTGAGGGTCCTGAAGAGGTTTTGCCTGAGGGTGGTTTGAAAATTCTAGACTTGTTAGGTCAAGGTCTCAAGACCCTTGAGTCTCAGGTTTGGGTGGGGGTCAAGGGGTAAGGTACTCTTCTCATCTCCTCTAAAGCAGTACTTAAAAAATTGCATTTTTATGTTTGAACCTGAAGTACCCGTGCTGGTAGGAGAGTCACGCAGTGTTCACTGAGTTCACACATTTGTGCTTTGCTTTCCTTTATTTTTAGGGGTGTTTTGTTTTGTTTTCCCTAGAGAAAGAAAGATTTTTTCCCTTGTCAAGATTCGAGTCCTAGTGAGATTTGGGATTGTGGGCCAATCACTTCCCTCCCCTAAACCTAGATTTGGGACTAATTATTTTATTTTGCCACACCTATGTCCCCTCATCTGAGACCGAGGGACAGTCCTTCAGGCCTCTTGGGCGGCCCTGAGATCAAATCAGGCAACGTTCATGCAAGAGCTGTACCTAGGAGTTGTCACCATTGCGCAGCTATGACTTTTGACTCATTTCTGTGTTCTTTTACCTTCACCCAAATCTAGCACAGGGCTGGGCATGTGTAGAGATTCTAGTTAGGTTGTACTGCATGAAATTTTCTAGGTCAAGGATCTCACTGGTGAGAAGGAAGGGAAATGTTCTTCTTAGGGTAAGTTAGGCCTTGGCCATCAGGTCAGAGAACCGTGGGCTGGGAGGGGCTTCCTGGGTACCCGTGGGGGTGAAGATGACTTTGTGAATACTGAAGCTGCCCAAAGGGCCAGTTTTGATTTGCCCTACTCAAGCTCTTTGCTCTGCCCTCCCTTCTCCATACTGACTTCACGGCCACATTGACTTTTCTTGGTTTGTAGAATGCTGTTTCTGTTGTTCTTAACTCTGGGTGTTGTATTTGAAATGTTGTAGTAAAGCAGACACCCCCTACCTTCTGTTCAGGGACTGACCAGTAATTCTTCAATTTTTATTTTTGTTTCTCCTCTTGCTCTAAAATTGCCTGTAGAATTTAATGAACTCTGAAAAAACAGTTCTAGAAAACAACACTACCACAGCACATCTTTCAAATAAGTTTGTTTTTGTTGATTTTATTCACTTTTGTCCTTCTCTAGAAAAGGACATCATGTTCGGTAAAGTAGAGGGTCAGCGAAGAGGAGAAAAACCCTCTATGAGATGGATGGACACATAGCCACAAAAATATCAAACATGTCAAAGGTCATGAAAGTGGCATAGGACTGGATAAAGTTTGGTTCAGTTATATATAAGGTTATCTTCTATGTTTTATATTATATAAATACATACATATTTATATATAAAACCAAACCAAACCTGTTGCCGTCAAGTTGATTCTGACTCATAGGACCCTGTAGGACAGAGTAGAACTGCCCCATAGGGTTTCCAGGGAGTAGCTGGTGGATTTGAACTGCCAACTTTTTGGTTAGCAGCCGTAGCTCTTAACCACTACACCACCATATGTAAATGTTATATAATTATATGTTATACATTATGTGTTATGTTTTATATATGTGTTATATAATATGTTATAGATAAGGTTGCCATGAGCTAACGGCAACTAACAACAACAATCCCTCTCTTCTCTGAAACTCACCTTCATTTTTTTCTTTTTTTCTCTTTCTCGTTCAGAAATTGGATGGACTAGCCAAGCTGCGGACGGTTCGGGAAGCTCCATCTGAGTGCATCTGCCCCCCAGGTATGTGGAGGCTCACTCCTTACTGGGTCCTATCTCCACCAGCCCGACCCTTGTCTCTGCTGTGTTCTCACGCCTGCTTTTGGTAGCAAACCCTGCTGAGGACGGTTAAGAGGCATGTGTTGTGTTTCAGACTGTTGTACCTGTGGATCATCCTGAGGCCTTTCTTAGTCTTCTCTGGTGGGCTCACTAGTCAGTAATTTCAGCAGAGTGAACTGACTTGGTTTGATGAGGACATTGATATTTGTATAGGAACAAAAAAACTGATAGAAATGACTTATAATAAATGCTTATCTTATAGGGAAGTAGCAGCTAACCCATTTTAAAGGTGGAGAAACTGAGGTATGACTCTCTAGGAGACACCATTCACACTGTATTAACATTGCACATCTAGCTCTACTTCAGACATGGGGAGGGTTGATAAATAACCTGGTGAATGTAGTTTTGTTTTGCTTTGTTTTCATTTCTTCTGGTGGAGGTAGAGAAAGGGAGCAGGAAACACAGTCTGAATTATTCCAATAATCATGTCTTTCTTTGGTTTTGTTGGTGTAGATCAGTGTCTTAGTCATCTAGTGCTGCTGTAACAGAAAT